CTACAATATAATTACGTGTTATGATATAGATCCCCAAAATATATGTATATGACATCGGAGACCCACAGAACCAGTATTACTTTGATGCGTCACGTGAAGAAATTACATTTATTGTTATAAAAACCTGATAATAAATATTTCGAAACACTTGAGCCACGGCCTCTCTAAGAGAAAGAAAGTGCTCTAATAAGAATATTGTAAACAAACTTTTTCGATGATTTAATTATTTTGATATTGTCAATCAAATCGAAAAGCTCTGCTTAAAAAACATTTTTTAAACAGAGCTGCTTCTTGTTATCAGAAAATAAGTAGGTACGCTAACTAAGTACATATGTAGGTATATAAACCTGTAAATATATACTCATTTAAAATTTTACAAATTATACATTTGCGAGTAAAGTCTATGGTGTATAATTATATATAACAAAAGTAACTTATTTTAATTTAAATGTAAACATTCAAAAAGTATATGGTATAATAAAATTCCCTAAATACGAGCCCTTTCTCCTGATCTTGAGCATTGAACTCCGTCGGGGTGACATTGCGGACGACTGCAGTACACATCTGCCCACGAATTTTGATACTTGAACTTGTATTAGTTTGCTCAAAAGATTTAAGTTACATTATTTCATAATTTGAAAATGCTTTACATTAATGATGCAATAATGTTGTAACAAATTTCTACCACAATTATTCAAAATCATTTAATAGGATCAAATCTTAATACTGTGTTTTTTTCTAATAATTCATAATTACATTTTAAGCTTTGTGTATTTTAAAATTATAATTTATTAACGAAGTAAATTATAGCTGTTTGCTTAAACATTTACTACTTCGTCTATGTAATAGACCGCTTTAAATCGAACGATATCAATAGAAAAAGTAAACTCCTTATAAAAGAATAAATTATGGAAAACATAATGAAGCTTATAATGAAATTAATCTACTCAAATATGCCTTTTAATATAAGGAAACCCAGTGTTCTTGCAGTTCGTAGCTTCACTTGGGGCTAAAGGTCCTTTGAAATATTTTGATAATTTTAAGAGACATTATAATTCCTATGAATATAATATGCTTCAAGTGCATAAAGTATTTTTATTCATTCATATAGCTTATTATAGTACTTAAAATGGTATACTCGTATATTGTACTCCTACATTTACACATATAACTACCGACTACGTATCAAAACTGCTTGCTGCATCTCACTTTAAATGTACAGTGCACTTGCATTATAGCGTATGGATGCACCGTCTTGAATTTTTTTGCCAGTTTTTAACTTCGTCCTTGAATTTCAAGTTTAGATTACAGCGTGCACATTACCAAAACGCGTTGGCCGCACACAGGTGCATTACTTCAGTTACATATGTCTACTCACGTATAAGACAACATTATGCGGGTGAATCATATATATTTCCAAATACATGGCTGTTTTTGAGTCGCAAAGAAAAAAAATTAAATACTTAATTACATACTTAATAGTAATATATCTCTAAAAAAATATCCTAACATTAAATATATATTTAAATTCATAAAGATAACAATACAAAATCCAGTCCAAATGCACGAGTGTCAGACAGTAATTGAAGCCAGCCGCAGGATCAACACAAATCACATTAGGCTAGGTCAGGATTCCTAACCCAGCTGAGTAGATATGATACGAATAAAGGTAATAAAAAAGGTGAAGTGCGATGCAGACCCAGGGCAATGCACTTTTTCGTGGACGGTCAAAGAAGATCGAATGCGCCTGGTCCTGCCCAACATTTGTGAGTAGCATGACAATTTTATCAATTCTGTTCAAACGAGTGTATTCTTTATTCCTTTAGACATTCGACATATAATACCTTACGAAAATATGTCTCTTAATGTGTTATTCCATTGTTATTGTGTAGACCAAAAAGTGCTCGCCATTATGATGGAAAAAGCACCTTGTAATGGATGGGATTGATATTAATTTTAAATGATATGACCGAAAATTGCCAACTACATCCGAGCCATCTGCACGTAGAGCAACAAACGAATATAACGTCTAATTCAAAGGTTGTAAGGTAAATAATTTTAAAAAGTGTTATCTAAAAACGTAATGCATACGCAACGGAATGCAAACGTGAGGTGGGTATATGCGAATCAGTTTAGCTAAGGTCATGATATAGGTACACTTGCGAATAATTTGACACAACTGTGTCCAGTTCTGTTCTGTAAAAGATGATCTTAAATTTAAGTTCATTATTATTTCGTAAATTAAAATAATTGTAAAAAACTAAGTTGTAATATTCCGTACAAACTACATTTTGTTGGTTCTACTGTCCGATACAATAATATTTTGGATAAAACTTTTTTATCATTTGGTAAATATGTATAGGTAGGTATAAATTTTAATTTTTTATATAACAATTCCATAAAGTGTACCTAGCTTATAGAACAATATTTTTTTCAATTTCTTAAATTAAAATCTATACATATAATAAAATTCTAACTGAGTCGAATCTGTACATTAAATATTTTTAGGAATTTTTTATTGAAATAATCATTATTATTAATACAGAGACCGAAACTATAGTTTTTAGAATTTATGTCTGTCTGTGACCGCATCACGAGAAAACCACTGGACAGATTTTGATAAAATTTCGTACGATGATAGCTGATTACTCGGATCAACATATAAGATGCTTTTTATTGCGAAAAAATATCTCATCTTTGAGAAATCTATACTAAATGTGAAAAACGTTACTAGGGTCGAACCCGAGCGGAGCTATTGAGTCGCGAGTGTGAGTCGCTATTTGTATAAATATATTTTAACTACATATACAATAAGCATATGATGTAATACAAATGTACATGTTCATTCAACAATAGTAATACAATCGAAATCCTTTCAATACTCTAGTCCTTATGTCTACTCGCACATATTTCAATTTCAACATCGATATTTTAGGTTACATTTAATAAATGAAAATATTTTGCCTTTATTCTTATTATATTTATAATAAAAATGTGTAATAAACAACAAATTAAGTAAAACAACATTTCCTAAGCGAGTCAATGACAAAAAAATTACACCCGCCTAATTAAAATTTGATTACCATAAGCTATAAAGTTTATAATAAAATCCCTAACAATTCTTGCGTTAGTGCTCATATAACCAACATATACTTTATGTTTTAGAACACTAGGTTAGGAATACTTTAGCATTGCTATATTTACTTTAACAACATTTTCTCCACTAATTTTATTATATTCGCATCATACCATATACCTTACCATAAATACCATTTCAAAAAACCAGGAAAAAGTCAGTAAAACAACACATATCTTTCAATCACACACTGAATAAGTTCTAAGTACTGTAGATGCCTCCATCGTTTAGTTAAAAGAAACGAGATAAAAATAGTTAAGATCAAGGACAATGATTTATATTGCTATACAATTACCTATTCAAACGTAAGAAGAGCTTGTCGATCAAATCCTGATAAACATGTCTATTTTCGGGTAAGTATGAATTACATTTTATTGTTATGATACGTTGTAAGGAAAATTTCAGATATGCGTAATAGAAGTAGAATAACAAAATGGAAAATTATTAATTTTTAATGCGTTTTGTTTTTATTTCATACTAGTTGTGTGCAAATTAATCACAAAAATTAATAAAAATAAAAAATGTTAACTGAAAGCCACACATCGTTATTTATTTTGATTTATCTTATATAGACATACTCGTATGTACTGAATATTTCATAAGCTACCTTTCTTCTAATTTTCAGTATTTTAGAATACTAGTTTTGGCGTTGTTGCAATAGCTATGTTAATGATAAACCTCTTTCACAATATACGATACATATTAATTTAAATATATGACGTTACAAAATAATCTCGCGGTAACATCAGTGTTACCTGCTCTACTACAAATGATATTAGAAATGTTTTGCACCTTATTCATATCCCATATACAATATATTAAATAAACTGTATTTACGATGGTAATATTAAGCTTTTCCATATGATAAGCCTATTTTTTTATTGGCTCCACACAAAAATTAAATAATCTATTTTTATTTAAAGGTACTCAATGTATAATACAATAATTATCGCTACGATTTTTTCAAATATTTTACAGAATACTTTTTTATTAAAGGAGTTCCAATAAAGTGGCAAAAAATTTACTAGTTCACATAATTTAATGAACACCGATTTAATAGAATTTTATAAAAAATAAGAAGGGCTTATAATATAACAGTCCGGATTGGAAAACGTCTTAAGCCAAATAGTATAAAAGTTTCTAAATAGTGAAAGGTTTAAGTTATATATACTAAAGGTTTAGATTTAATTCAATTAATTGATGTTTTGAAGTAAAAGTTTTTAAGTAAGTTAAAGATTATAAATAGAAGGAATGAATATCAATGGAAAAAGCAAAATATATGTGGGCATTTCTTGTTTGAAATTTATAATAATTAAAAATTCTTAATCCCCACAATACGATCAATAAAATTATTACTATCTCTACGACTACGACTAACTCTACGAATCTATTAATCGAAAATTTACGGTGAAATGTTTATTAAAAAAAAATATGACATTTATCGTTACGCTTTGTTTGAAATAATTTTAATTATACTTATAACGAACATAAGCTATATTAAAACACTAATCACGAGGTATTTACCTTGTAATAATATAAAATCTAATTTATGCATCTCTTGCTAACTAATTATATGCAGAATTTATACATGTACGTATGTATCTCTTGTTATACTATATTCACGCTTAAATTTCAGAACCCTTAGTAAGCCCTGGCGCAGACCTGAACCCTGCTTTCCTCGACCACCTTTGCCGTAGTCGACGATGTCGTGCATCGACACGTATAAATACATACGAACCACGCTCCTGCCGAGACTGCCCGCCGAAACCGCGTCGAACACAACAACCCAGCGCACGCGCACCCGCTTTTTATTACAAAAATAAGTTATATATTTTCCAAAAAAAAATTAAAAACATCATTAAAAATGGACAACGCTGAATTATACCAGAAAAGCAACACGTTACAAAAAAGGGATGCTCTACAATGCTTAGAAGAATATGCGAAAAAAATTAAATGGAGAAACGATGGTGATACAGTTATTGATATAGGTAGCGGAGATGGAAGTGTTACAACAAGTATACTAATGAAGTTTCTGCCCAGCAACTGTACGAGGGTAATGGGATGTGATAAAAGCGACAAGATGGTACGTTTCGCTAATAAATACTACGCGGCTGACCACGTCAGCTTCACTATCCTAGACATAGAAGCTGACCTGCCAGATGAGCTGAGAGAAAATTTCGACCATGCATTTTCATTTTACACCCTTCACTGGATCAAGAATCAAGAGTAAGTACTTTACATACACATTTAAATTTCGTATCTTTAACTTATAAGAAAGTAAGTTAAGAATATAAAGGCAGTACCTATCAAAATTCTAACACCTTTATGTAGCCGGTATAGAGCTACAGATGTTTTGTTTTTAATGAAAAAAAAAATCGTTCGATTTTAAATTCGATTGAGTGTTCGTTCGATTACGCAACTAATTGATGAACTTTAAAAAATATATAAAAAATTTCCTATTTAAACTATTTATACTTTTTAAAGTAGATAAGGTTGCATAAATGTACGATTTAACTGCCAGTATACAAAGTGTTAATATATAATGTTAAAGTACTACAATTCTGTAATATAAACACGTGTATAAAACGTCCTTCATGTGCTGTGCACACCTCGGGATAACTCTTATAGCAGCCATATAGCGCAAACCCTGCGATTAATATGTTCTATTAACGATTTTTTACTAATGTTTTATTTTATAAAAATTCACTAAATTAGTATTTACTTTTAGGCATAGTATTTAGAAAATACCACAATTACTTACAAAATTCATTTTTACCGTTTTTACAGTACAAGATTCTTGATTTTGGTATATATTTCTATGTGTGTATGTGACTCTATAACTTCACCTATTATGAAAATGGTAAGACCGTAAAAGTGATTTCCAACATAATTACCACTTATCTTACGGTGAAGGAAAACATCGTGAGGAAACCTGCATTACTGAGAAAACCTAGCAAGTTTTTGAAAGACATTCAAAAGTCCACCAACTCGCACTTGGCCAGCGTGGTGGTCTATGACCTGATTGAACTTGAACGTAGGCCCGTGCCCAGCAGTGGGAAGCACGACGTGAATACATACGTAGAACGTAATTTTCAGGGTTCCGTAACCAAATGGCTAAAACGGAACCATTATAATTTCGTCATGTCCGTTTGTTAGTCTGTAGATGTTTTATCCGTTTTTCTATTTTGTTCGAAGACTATTGGAGCTACATTGGTGAAAAGGCGATACGCGTCTCATGTAAGCCGCAAACAGTTCTATGGTTAGATTACAAAAAATAAAAAATGGGGACGGCTCCATACATGTATCTGAGGAATGAACGACAAATCTTACATAAATGTGTCTCTCTAAATAGGTCTACTCATTTCAGATAAATATTCCTAAAAGATTTTTTACTAATGTGACGATGACGCATTTTTTTTAACAGTAATAGGAAACACCTTCGGGTTCCATGATTATCCTTCGTGCACGGAACCCTAAATGAAAACATATAAACGTCATAACACATTACCTATATTAACGAAATTAATTTTATAGCTTATATAGTTCAGAAATAATGAAGTCAATTTACATAAACTTTCACTTTTCACTAGACTAAGAGGTATGGGAAGCAAGTTTTAGTATATTTTAAGTTTTGATGCCTAGAAATTACAAATATAGGATCTACTTTGTATGTATATAATAATCTAAATGTTTAAACTCTTATCTTTACCAGAATAATGCTAAAAATGATCCTTTAACATATTTTATACTCGTGATAAGGACATGTTGTGAGGTCAATTTATACACATTGTTCTTCTTTTATTTTTCAGGACAGCATTTTCAAATATTTATAACTTATTAACAAGAGGCGGTGATTGTCTACTTATATTCCTTGGTCACATGCCAGTGTACGATGTTTATCGGATGTTAGCTCGTAAGCCGAAGTGGAACTATTGGCTGAAAGAGGTTGATCGTTTTGTCTCACCATATCACGACTGCCAGGTATAATTAGATCTATACTTTAAACACACAATTTCATAAAAAATATAAATTGTAATATATTTAGAAATTGACAATATTTTTAATAATACTCTCTTGGTTATTATGAATTTTTATGAGCTTTTAATAAGTTCGCGCAACAACATAATAATGAAAAGCTGACACAGAAATCAAGCAGGATTGATGCTCTGTAGTTACTTCTGTTGATCCCGTACTAAACTTTGATTCAAATGGGTAAAAACATACTATGAAGATAGCGATTATAATATTTCAGATATACGTACCAATAATTTGGAAAAAAATGCTTCTGCCCTTAAGAACAACTGCCGAAATAAACTCAGTGGAACTATATACCTACTTAGATAAATAAATAACAAAAATCAAAAATTATAATGGGATCAAATAAAGTAGCTGGAGTATTTTTTTAATGTTAATAAAATTATATATTACTAGCCGAACCCGTGGCTTCGCTTGCGCTAAAACTGTAAAAAAACTCTAAAAAGGTAGGTTTCATACAAACTTTCATACCCTTTTTTTAAGGGATAAATTTCGAAAAATGTTAAAACACGTATTTATTTAATCATATTGAAGAGCATTAATACCAAGTTTTAAGTAATTCTGATCATAAATATTTTAAGTTGTGTTTTAACCTCTTTTCCGGTGGGAATGAGATAATCTCCTGCGGCAAAAAGTGTCACTCTCCAGCCTTTCACAAAAAATCACGCCAATCCGTCACTCTGTTTGACGTGAAAGAAGGACAAACAAACAAACAAACAAACAAACAAACAAACAAACAAACAAATAAACAAACAAACAAACAAACGAACAAACAAACAGACTTTCACATTTATAATATTAGTATGAATATTATTATACCATTAATATTTTTTTGGAGATTTTTGAAATTTAAGCTACGAACGACGCTTGGGTTATGGATAGCAGATAGTTGTTACACTATACATATATAACTTTAAATACATACATATTACAAATATAAACACCCAGGACTTTAGTACAAACATTCGTGCTAATAACACAAACGAATGCCCCCAGCGGGACTCGAACCCACGACCGCTGGCATAACAAGTACTATACTACAAACTAAGCCAAACGTACCTATCATTCTGCTGATAAAAATTGTAAAATCAGCATTTTATTATATAGTTGAAAAATATATAATAAGTACCTACCTAAGTAATATGTTATGTTACTTTTTATAGGACCCTGAAAAAAAAATCAAAAGAATGATGACATCCATCGGATTTAATAGTGTTGATGTTCATTGCACTGAAAAATCTTTTATTTATTCTAGTTTGCAGGAGACTAAGGGTAAGTTCTATTATATTTTAAAATAATTAACTAAGCTTACTTAAAATACCATCGTCCTCACTTTAGACTATAAATATTAAGGTGTTCTGATTTTTTGGTTATTGGTTTAATATCAGTCAGCCTTCACGCTGCCACAATTGATGTAATTTTAGGTTATTCTATAAAATTCCTGACATAGATGTAACCAAACAACCTTATCATTCAAAGATCGGATAAAAGAATAATATCACACAAAACTTATTTAATAACTCAACTAGGATATCGATCAATGACAAGATCATTTTATTACAATGTTACAAATATAATTATTTATAATTAAAATATTACAAAAATTATATAAAACTAGCTGCTCATCCTCGCTTCGCTCGAGTTCGCCTCTAGAAAAACAAAAATAAACCTATCCCATGGGAACTGTACATTTTTCCGGGATAAAAAGTAGCCTCTGTGTTATTCCAGACTATAATCTATCTCTGTGCCAAATTTCAACTAGATCCGTTCAGCCGTTCTGGCGTGAAAGACTAACAAACAACTCACAAACTTTCACATTCATAAAATTAGTAGGTATACCTAGACAACAAAGCGGTCTGTCTGTCTGTTACCGCATCACGGAAAACCCACTGGAGAGATTTTGATGAAATTTGGTATGATGATAGCTGGTTATCCGGGTCAACATATAGGATACTTTTTACTGAGAGAAAATATATCATCTCTGAGAAATCTATACTAATCGTTAAAAAGTAAGTAGAGACGAACCCAAGCGGAGAAAGGATAAGTAGCTAGTCAATAACTAAAACTTGATAAATTTTGGCTGAAACCATTAGGTAATGATACTGAAAATCCTATTGTAATCAACTTAAACGCATTTTACTCCAAAAATCATATTATTACAAAAATCTACGAAAACATATCCTAAAAATAATTATAAACTCCAAATCATATTTTGTTATCTTATTTTACTAATTTTATAAAATTATCAAATGTTTTAAAATCATACAATATAACATAAATTGTTACCCATACTTTAAACTAGATGGCGGCAAAATCTTGCGTCAGTATCTAAAAGCTCTCTATAAGTTATCAGATTATTAAGAAAAGCGAAGGCTATCGAGTTAATAAAAATAAGTAAAACTTAATAAATCTATAAATTCTATTTACAGAATAAAATTTTCCGCTCTAACTATCACATTACATTTCGAAATATCAATAAAAAACGTGATTCTATAATGCAAATATATTTTATTTAAGTAATAAATAAGTAATAAATCAGATTTACGAAATAAATACTTAACAAGATTACTCAAGCGGCTTTCTGAATCAATTATACTGAAGGCTAATTAATTATGATAACGGGTTAAATTTCTAACGGTGAAGGAAAACATCGTGAGGAAACCTGCATTTCTGAGAGAACCTAGCAAATTTCGAAAGACATGTGAAGTCCGCCAACACGCACTTGGCCAGCGTGGTGGACTATGGCTTGATCCCCTCGTACTGAAGGGAGGCCCGCGCCCAGCAGTGGGACGTTTAAAAGGGCTGAATACACAACGGGTTAAAATATACATTAAAATTGCCAATATTTTTTGTCTATTTATTCGCTAACCTTCGGCATCGCTAAAACGAAACTCATTGGCGCATATAGGATATATTTAGATAACTTAGGCTAAATATTATTTCGTATTTAATAGTGTAGAACGCCTTTAAATCAAAATAGCCTGAACAGTGCTAAACTTATTGGAAGATTTTATAGGCACGAAAATCAATAAAACTCTCGTGCTTCCAAAATCATTAAAACGTCAATAAAGCAAGTGAAACTTAATTTCCTCAATATTTTTTACCATTTTTAGTTATTGATAAACGACGTAAGCCGATTTGAACAGGAATTTTGATCCGTGACTGAATTTTGTTTCAGGTTAAAGCGACATAGTCTATTGTTAAATAGAATTACTATCGTAATATGACCGCGGAGTTTTGAAAACTAGTTTAACAATTAAATAATACTTTAACTGTTAGTTACATTTAAATTACATTTAAAATATATTTCCGTGATATAGATGCAGTAGCTGCGATAAATCCGTTTAAAATCCCAAAAGAGTTGCTTGAAGATTTCCTGGAAGACTATGTCAAAATTGTAAGCGACATGCAGCTCATAGACTACGTGTGCAGCAATGTGGCAGATGGTCCAGTTACAGTAAGGACTAGTTATCACTTAATCACCGTTTTTGGGAAAAAGTAATTTTAAAATATTGTTTGTGTTTTCGATGCCTGTTAGTACAATTTAGTTCTAAGTTTTTTTTTTTATATTTTATTTAAAACTATTTTAAAAATAAGTTAACAAATTGCAGAAAATTATTGTTTACAGTGGTATTTTTTCTTATTTAAATTTAATTTATTAATTTTAACTAATTTAAAACATATTGTACTAGATAAGTATTGCTGGTAACAACAAAATATTGTGTAAATATAACCATAGTATATATTTTATATTTAAAAAAATGTATATGGCCTGATGACTGATCCGCCTCGTATTGAAGGGAGACCAATGTCCAGCGGTGGAACGTTAAAAAGGGCTGAATACAATTATAGTATAGGCTAAATATAATTTATTTAACTAGCCAAGACAGATGTTCAATACATGAATGTTAATAAATGAAAATAATTATAACCTTATAATCTGTATTAATATTATAAATGTGAAAGTTTGTGAGTGCGGAAGTTTGTTACTCTTTCACGGCAGAACGGCTAAAATTTGGCAGAGAGGTAGATTATAGTCTGAAATAGCACATAGGCTACTTTTTATCCCACAAAAATGTACGGTTCCCGTGGGATAGGTTTGTTTTTGTTTTCCTAGAGGTGAACCCGAGCGAAGCGAGGGTAAGCCGCTAGTAGAGTATAATTATTTGTAGGTATAGTTTTAAAATAAAATTAATTTTTCTACTATTTGAAGTGCTATTCTGTATGAACATTTATGTAGCTCTTCCAAGGACCCATTTAATTACAATTTGACGGTTTTTAATCTAGTTTTTGTAAAAGGTTTTAACAAAAACCCTTTTATTAAGGTGACCCAGCCAATAGGCTTAATTAAATCAATTTGTTCAAAAGATTAACCTTTTTTATATTGGTTCACCTCTAGCTTACGCAATAAATAATAGATCACTCTCATAGATATAGAGTAGGATAGTTACCACATGCTCATTAAGTTGTAAGGAAACAGAGCGTGTCACTTTTTTCCCGCCCACAATCACGTCAATCGAGCCTGTTAGTATTTTGTACACCAGAAACAGTGTCACTTCAATCGCATCGCATAAGGAAAATAATACCCGATCACCGTACAGACTCTCAAAATGTCATACTTGAAGTACTATTGGGAACGAAAATCGAAATAGGATTATTTTATTTTATATATATTCATCTCATTCTTCTATACATATAATAATATTGTAACTAAGCTGAATCTGTACATTAAATATTTTTTGGTAAATTTTATTGAAATAGACATTATTATCGATACAGTGGCCGAATCTATAATTTTTAGAATTATTGTCTGTCTGTCTATTACCGCATCACGGAAAAACCACAGGAGGGATTTTGATGAAATTCGGTATGGTGATAGCTGGTTATCCTATTAGCTGGTTCACATATAGGATACTTTTCACCGCGGGAAAATATCTAATTTCTGAGAAAAAATACAAAAACTGCAATGTAAGAGTGTTCTAATATGTAAACCTTAGAACTTGGTTTTTGGTCATCTAAACGCGGGCGGAGCCGCGGGCAGTGCTACTTGTTTAATATAACTTTACATAGTGTACTTTAATAAGGTTACAGTTTGAGGATAGCTGCTTCGATCAACAGGTATTTTTGATCGAAAGATAACTGAGACAAAAATATAATTGTTAAATCAAACGATTTTAAAATCGATATTAGTATTATGTTCAGACAGATGAATGATAAAGCAGAGGAAGGAGTTTATAAAGTCGATTACATAAGTATAAATACTTTTCAGGGGCCACGTAGCTGTTTTTTATTATATAATTTTAGGCCGCTACTCCACTACACACTTCCAATTAAGTTATTTATTTTTGTCATTTCGTCAAAGATAGATAGAATACCTACAACTAAGTAGCGTGTATGAAAATTAGACGAAAAACAAAATATTATGCTCATGTATTTTTGAAGTACCTTGAGTGATTTTGTATAAAGTTCTTCCATCGTAACATTCATTGTTTAATAAACAACATTCATTGTTAAATAAACCCGTCGCTTATATTTCGTTTAAATGTTATTTCCGAATCTTAATCGATCACACATACCTATAACATTATTGAAGTGAAACTTCTTTAGAATCGTTGTGATTTTAAACTCGATGAGACGGAAATGAAACGGAAATGCGATACTAAAAAGAGACAAACACGTAAATATATAGGAATATGCCGGCGAGAGAATGAGATAGAATATATTGCCATGTTGCCATGGTAACTGTTGTTAGTGTCTGACAAATGTATATTTCTGTCAAATAAAATGTAAAATATTAAATAACTTTTAAACTTCGTAAAAATATTATAAAAAAATAAACCTATATATAATATATATAATCTACGAATAAATACTTATTATTTATTCGCATCTTATAATTATTATCCTACTCCTGATAGGACTCTATATTCATCTCATTCTTCTCGTACTTTTCTGAAGTTTTACTTCTGCCATGTGTGAATTGCACACATACTAACTTTTTATTTTAATTACAATATCTTTTCTTCTTATTGTTTTGTTTTTCTTGTTGCATTTGATTTTACTTTTTCCTTCTTCATCAGCTGATAATTAATTGTTATTTTAATTAATATTTTAAAACTATAACATGGTTTCTCTGTGCCCAAACAGGGACGGGGGAATATTCAAAAAAAATCGAAGTAATCGTATATAACATAAAGTGTTACACAATAAATAATGTGATACAAATACGTTAAAATTATTAACAAAAATTATATATTAGAACTAACATTGCCCGCGGCTCCGAGCCCGTTCAGATGACCAAAAATCAAATTCTTAGGTTTTACATATTAGTATACCCTTACATTGCAGTTTTTGTATTTTTTCTCAGAAATGAGATAGGTATTTTTCCGCGGTAAAAAGTGTCCTATATAACCAGCTATCACCATACCAACTTTCATCAAAATCCCTCTAGTGATTTTTCTGTGATGCGGTAACAAACAGACAGACAGACGGACGGACGGACGGACGAATTATTCAATAAGATTTTCCAAAAAATATTTAATGTACAGATTCGGCTTAGTTACAATTTTATTATATGTATAGATGAAGTTAAGCGAACCTCAAAGTGCGACAACGGAGATTTTGGACAAATAGGTGAAACATTTTGGTACATAACAAATATCATTTCATTTAATTATGGTTGTATTAGTAGTATGGTTTTATTAAGGTTAATACATTCCGTTTGGTAGAAGGTTACACATTTCACGGGTAATAAGGTTTTTCTAAAATCATTTTGAATGGGTAACAATTTTATTAGGCTTGAAACTTTAAACCCGGGTTTTACTGTCTCTGAACTCTACATCATCATTATGATACTTTTTTTCACACAACTAATTCGAAATATGTTTACGAATTCAGCTGTCCAGTTAGATAAACATTCTTACTACAGTAACACAGATTACATTATTCAAGCTTTCCTATGCTACGAAAACTGATTACAGCTACAATATTTACTACGTTAGTTTAGAGATTTTATCTTTGATATCTTTATGCTAAAATTGTTTATTTACTATTATTTTGTGTGGAACGTCAGTGTCAAACCAAATCAAACTATAAGAGTTATATTTTAGAACAGAACATTTAAAAATAAAATTTTACAGGCTTTACGCGAGTTAGGTATAAATTATATTGTTGTTGTGTTTTGCGTAAAATTTATTAGAGTAAAATAGTATCTTTTATAATTAAATTGTTTTATTTTTATACATAATAAAAATTATTATTTTAACCAGTAAAATAATTGTATTTTTTTATTTTTTCCTTTATCCTGTATTTAAAATATATATTAGGTACCCAAAAAGCCCAAGACGTTACTAGTAATAACGTAGTTGTAGTAGTAGATTGGATTTTTTAACCTAGGTACTATTTAGGGTTCCGTACCTAAAAGGTAAAACGGGATTCTATTACTAAGACTCCGCTGTCCATCCGTCTGTCACCAGGCTGTATCTCATGAATCGTGCTAGTTAGGCAGTTGAAATTTTCACAGACAATGTATTTCTGTTGCCGCTATAACAAAAAATACTAAAAAACAGAATAAAATAAATATTTAAGGGGGCTACCATACAACAAACGTGATTTTTTGCCGTTTTTATAGATAATGGTATGAAACCCTTCGTGCGCGCGTCCGACTCGCACTTGGGTGGTTTTTTAATATTAGGGTCCGTTCACACAATACACACTTAGTACAGACTTACGTAGATTTCTATAGAATTTTGTCTGTGTAACATTGCAGTGCAGTACAGTGAAGACAAATGTCAGTGTATTCGAAAAGTCGGAGGTATGGAAGAAACAAAGCTATGCATGAAAATTAAAAGTTCAAAAACTAAAACCAAACAACGAATAAAATCAAACTTTTTAAATAAAACTATCTTTTCGGATTATTTCGCGGATTTATTTTGAGTTTTGGTTCCCGACGTTTCGAATGCTTTACAGCATCCATGGTCACGGGAGAGACTCCCGTGACCATGAATGTCACCATGAAACCACCAAAATGTCAAATATTCACGTAAATCTAAGAAAGTATTAAAATCAAACTTTAGAAAGTACGAAACAAGAAAATAATTCTAGTCTCAAATTTTTATCTACCAACTCCTTGTTCATTTACTTATCATTTAAGTAGATAACTTGTTTTTCAACTAAGTTAAATTTCAAACAATTTAATAAGTATTATATATACTTATTATAATTTTTTTTATGTTTAGAATTAAAATCAACACATATTGTAATGTACCTATGTGTTTTGGTGCCGTTTTTGAATATTTGAAATAATTTTTGTAATTCAAAAATCACTATTCCATTTCAAAAACACTATTTGCCCCACTATTTACAATGCAAGTATATAACGTCTTTCACGTTGACCCGTGGGCTAAACCTAGTGGAGAGTGCTGTGACCTCAAATGGTCATAGCTATTTTTTTTTCGGTCGATCCCCCGCCAAGCACACAAAGTCTAATTCGGCATGGTG